TAATAAGTTAGGGGGATAAAGTCAAGTCCCAAGATTTATTATTTTTATTCCAACATTTACAAACACCTTGTCCAAATAGCACCATTTTTCTTTTGATTTGTGTATGAAATGTGTATGGTATTAGAAGAAGGGTAATGCTAAGGTAGCTAAATTTTTAAATTGAATTTTGGAAATTAAATAATGTGATTGTTGATGATTAGATTGTTACTGATGTGTCAATTAATTTGCTTATTCTTAGTAATAAAACATCATTTAATTTACAAATTAGTTTAAAATTATGATCTACCTAACATTATCTAGGATAAAATACAGGAAACAACCAGCTCATATGCCACGCGTAGACGCCAATAGACATTCCCTAAAATCCAGTTTTCAACATATATATTTGTAATTTATTGACGTGGTCGTAGTCAACCAATATAGTTCGGCTACATATTTTCTCTCTACTGCCCAACCTACCCTAGTTCTTAAAACTAATTTTAAAATAAAAATAAAAAAATTAGGCCCCACCCCCCTCAGTCCCACCACACGCCCATAACCACGGCCTCACTGGCACCTCCTTTCCCAGCCTAACCTCCCCCGCAACCAACCGCCGCCAGCCCACACCCAACCCTGCCACCGTCATCGTCTCCAGCCCCATATATTCTGTTTGTCATAAAATTATACTAGTGAGCACTGAATTCTACTTTTTTTTTTTTTTTTTTTTCTTATGTGGAAAAGTTCTGACATCCCCGTCATCATTAATGTGGATTCCAAACTAGTGAAATCATCACTTAATGGTCAAACAAATAGATTAAAGATAAAATATGAAGTTACAATCAAACCTCATTGAAATTTCACGGGTCATAACGCACTCGTCACACAACAAATCTACTTTGAAGTTGGCTTATTCGCTCAACCAATTGTCGGAATGCGCACGAGATGTCGTAAGGACTCAATTTCTCAAAAGCACCTTTGTCTAAAGCTTCGTACAACTTCATATCCAAAACGCAGTTGGCTTCCGCTGCATGCATGCATGGGCTCGCTTATTATGTTACGGCCCAATGGAATCAACCCAACTGGGCTGTCTGGCTGTTCAATTGTAGCTACCAAGCCCGGACCAAATTTATTGCGGGCCCTATTTACATGCAGCCCAGTGACGAGAGCTGGTCCAGCGCCACGCGGTACATGAAGAACTATGCACTCTCACAAACAAACGGTCACGATGAAGGATCCATTCTGATCCAACGGGTGCACGCGGAGTCATTGTTACTCGCCGCACTTGAATTAGTAAGGCTGATCGATGCTGACAAGACATCTCAAATTTTTGAGCCAACAAATTTAAAGGAATTGTTTATTTTATTTTATTTTATTTTTTTTAAGGGAAACAACTGGTTTCCACACGATTATCTATCACTTTCGAGGATCGAAAACTTACCGAAACATTTCAGTCTCTTCTGATCACAAATCTAGTTTCCACACCAGCATCGTGTTTTGAACCCGAGACCTCCAGTTATTGTTATTGACACTCAATTAGTTGCATGCAATGATTTTGTGCACAAATTGTGAAAATGAATTGGTCTTTAATTCTTAAAAAAGATTCAGTCTTTGAATTCTAGATTGCAATTCATGAAATTATAAATCCCTTGTATACGATTAAAACGGATGACTTATGAGGCTAGATTTAATGATCCTTAAATTAACAATCGAGTTTAAATGATTTGTTTACTTGATGGATCAGTTCAAATTGACCTAAATCTAAATCGATCCGTTTACAGGTCTAGATGAGGATGGTATAGTTAATTGTTAGTTGGAATAATTAAAGAGTAACAATATTCACATACTTTCTTTTCTATATTTGTGCATTTATATTTTTCATTTCTTCAATCCGACAGTCTAAACTAAAATAAAAATCAAATAAGTAAGCAAATATCACCACTCTAAGTATTCGAAGAGCCGAAGGAAAAAGAAGAGTGTTCTTAACATTTTTCTTTTGATTTTGGTCAAAAACAAGCTCCTGACCCGCGTTGAGCCGACGTAAACAGAAGAAGAGTCAGCCGGTTGACTTTCCTCGAATTCCTCCTCCTGGAACTCCAAGCATTCAAATTCTCCCAATTCCAAATTCCAAATTCCAAATTCCAAATTCCAAATTCCAAATTCGAGAAGAAAACTCCTTCCATTTCCACGCGCTAATCGCTCCAACAAAACTCGGTACCCGTTTTGCAAAACACATCCCGTTTCCCATAATCTTGGGGCACTTTTCGGATTCGGAAACAAGATGTGTTCTTGATTCGCCAGTCGCCGCCTTCCTCCTTCTCTCTTCGATTTCGAGCGACCTCCATGGCGGTTTCCATTGGCAACACCGAGATTAATTGGGACAAGTATGTTATTTACTTCGATCAATTTTAATTTTTGTTCATTAGTTGAGAAATATCCCATTTGTTATACTTTCGTTTATGAGCAAATTTTATGCTTCCTTTAATAATGCTATGAAATTCAATTAATTAAAGAATTCGAAACCCAATCCGAAACCCATAATTTATATGTAATGGTTGAGTGCTCAAACTATTGAGTTTTGTGCTTCGTTGAATTTTGACAATAATGCCATGAAGTCTTCAATTAGTTAAAGAATTCGAAACCAAATCCGAAACCCGTAATTTATATATCTGTGTGTGTGTGTTTGTTGGTTGAGTGCTCAAATGAGTGAATTTTGTGGTTTATTGGATTTTATGCAGGCTTGATAAGACTAAATTTTATGTGGTTGGAGCTGGCTTGTTTACAGGGGTCACAGTGGCACTGTACCCAGTTTCTGTGGTGAAAACCCGCCTACAAGTTGCTTCCATAGATGCTCTAGAGAGAGATGCATTGTCTGTGGCCAAGGGCATTTGGAAAGCAGATGGTATTCCTGGTTTGTACAGAGGGTTTGGCACCGTGATTACCGGTGCAGTTCCTGCCCGGATTATATTTCTTAGTGCTTTAGAGGCAACCAAGGTGGCTGCTTTCAAGATGGTTCAACCCTTAAAGTTATCTGAGGCTACAGAGGCAGCTTTTGCCAATGGAGTAGCCGGAATGACTGCCTCGCTTTTCGCTCAGTCTGTCTTTGTGCCCATTGACGTGGTAAATTATTTTATAGGATCTATCAGTTTCATTTGAGTACGTTTGTAGTTAGGGGTTTGAGATGGTAATTTTGAGTAACGGATTTTCTTTAGATTAGTCAAAGGCTGATGGTGCAAGGTTATTCGGGCCATGCAAAGTACACCGGAGGGCTGGATGTTGCTCGTAAGGTTATAAAGTCGGATGGCATACGCGGACTTTATAGGGGGTTGGGACTTTCTGTTATGACTTACTCTCCATCTAGCGCTGTATGGTGGGCTAGTTATGGTTCAAGCCAGCGCTTAATCTGGAGGTGAGAAATGGTAATTTGTTGTCTATTAACTCTGGTTGTGCTTATTCTTAAACTAGGTCACCTAATTGATAATTCTTTAATCAGTAAATTTTATATCTTTCAAATGAATGTCAGCAATACATAACTTTAAGATTTTCGGTTGAATATTCGATTTTTCATTTTACAAGGGCATGAAAAGTTGGGAGGTGTATCCATTTAATGTTCGTTTTAGATGGTCTCTGGTTTGAGTGTGTTAGTGGAACATATTAGTTTTAGAGTAATGGTTTAGATTCATTTGTGTTTTGTGCGAATTATCTCCAGATCAAGAAATTGGTTATTGGAGAATAGGTACCCATCTGGTACCTGTTGTACTTCTTGTTCTTGGTAATGAAAACCCTTATCGCTTCTGTCAAAAAGAAGTAATGAGTTGTTGGATGTAATCATCAATACTGCGACTTTGTTGATTGTTAGGTTGTTTAGCAATTCTAAAGTCCATCAAGCCAATGAATATCTATAATTAGGTTAATGAACTTTGTTCCGCTTAGATAAAGTTATACGGTGAAGGAGTTTCGGTGAATCAAATACTCTTTTGTCAACAGTTTATCTTTATTGCGTGACAATATATCTCTCTCTTATATTATCTCTGTTTATTAAGCAGTTTCTTAGGCCATGGAATTGGTTCTGAAGAAGCTGTCCCGAGCGTGGGGAATATAGTGTTGGTTCAAGCTGCTGGAGGAATTATTGCCGGTGCAACAGCATCCTGCATAACAACCCCATTGGATACCATCAAGACACGACTGCAGGTATTCATATAACCAGTTCATGTGCCTGGTTACTTTGCTGGCTTGCAGCTTGCTCATCTTCATTTGACCAAGTTATTGATAATCCGTGTTTTTAATAAAACTTTGTTGCTGCAATGTAGACGATGGGACATGGCAAGAGACCTACTGCAAGAGAAGTTGTTAAGAACTTGATTAGAGATGATGGCTGGCAAGGTTTCTACAGAGGGCTAGGTCCAAGATTCTTCAGCATGTCCGCCTGGGGCACTTCGATGATATTGGCTTATGAATATCTGAGTATGAACTCTTACCCATTACGCTTATGGAATTCTAGGTTCAAGCTACATATAAAGTCCTATCTCGAAATCCATATATACAGAAATGATAAATTCCTGCTTTTCAACTTCTCAAGCAATATTCATCGGACTTGCGAATACCCGAAATTAAAAACTGATTTCTATTTTGTTGTTTCCTTGTACTTTCAGAGCGCTTGTGTGCAAAAGATGACTAGGTGCCATTCCTCTTCCATCCAAATCCTTTTCTTCTTGCCGTGGAGCGACCATGCAAAGACGGAAAGTTTGGTTATGAAACAAGTTGGTACCGAACATTTTCGATTGGGAAATTTGATCCCGATATATCTTAAAATGCATTAGTTACTAACTTTTGGAAAGGTCCTCAGAATTCTTTCAAGAATTTTTCTGTTAGATAGTTGCGAGATCGTTTCTCTAATGATTGAATTGAATTCATTTGAATTGTAGCAAGTGTACCTTTACCCCGAGCAGGGAACTTCAACTTATTAATACAAAAGTTAATATAATAATTTTAGTTTTATATGTTCTTCTCTTTAGAACATCAAATTCCTTAACCCGATTGAATTAACGACAATTATTACTCGTTTAAACACGAAGATATTTAGAAATTTACTTGTTAACGACAATAATTAACCTCTGATTGGCTTCTCCAAAACAGCTGAGATGAAAAGCTCATGTCCAAGCATATCAGTCTTGGGCGCCACCCTGAGTAATGGCTTGTAACCTAACCTCTTAAACTCATCCATATGCAACTTCATGTCCTCCTTGTGACAGAAGAATCTGCCTATCCAACGAAGACCCTTCGGCGGAAGGATGCGTTCCCAATCAAACAACGCAAACCGAAGGACTTCAGCTCCGATCCAGCCATCCAAGAACAGAGTGGAATGGATAATGTTGAAGAAAGGCAGCCTCGAGCCGATCTTCCTCTTAGGCGATTACCTTATTAAAAGGAGCCCATAAGTTTTAAGGTACCAGAGGCAATGGTAATGTTCTTTTCCTTCATGATACAGCAAACGTTCCCATGGTCGGGCTAAAGTCTAGGCCGATTCTTATCTCCCCTGGCTTTAAGCTTAGAACTTCGTCAATGGTGAACTCTGCTGATTCAGACTCGTTCGTTGGAGTGTCCCAGGCTTGTTTCCAAAGGCCTGAGCATTTGAAGAAGCCTCTTCGGCTGTGGTTTCTTTCGAAACAAGACAAGAGTAGTCTTCTTCCTGGCAATGGATCACACCATGAACTAAACGCTTCTGAGTTCTTTCCGAAATCATCTGGGGGCATGCCATGGATCATTCCATCTCGAGGCTGTTGACTTGAAGAGTGAAGTTCAATTTCTCTTATTTTTCTACTGAGTTTTAGATCTTACCTAGGTGCCCAGCATACTTTATAGGCAGTTTGCTTATAACCCAAGAAACCCCCAAAAGCAATGCATCTTGATCTGTGATAATATTAACAAGAGCTACTTCATTGATAAATAAAATCAAACAAAATTTCAAGGTTTCTGTGTCGAAAATTATGTATCAACCACTAAAACAAAGAAAGAATTACGAAAACAAAAAGACGTTGATCATTTAACTTCTTCAATACCTTCTACAACGGTGTTGAAGAAGTGAGAATATCTTTGCCCAATTTGTCACTGATAGTACAAAGATGCACGCCATTTCGAACCTGGGTGCAAAAGATGGGCACTCTACACGATCATAACCAACTGGCCTAACCGACATGTTTGCTACCGAAATACTACTTAGTACCTCTTTTAATTGCAAACCTGCGTCTCATCTTCTTCACCTTCACCTTCACCATCCTCCTTCACATCATCATCATCGTCTCTGGTTGCCGCTGCATATTCTTCAAGCGACGCGGAGGGGAACAAGTCCCCCGCTTTGCTTCCTTTCTCGCCTGCAGCTTTCGCTACACCCGCAGATTTTCCAGCATTCATCTGTTCAAGCACAATTCGAGATTACAAATTACGCAACTTTTCATTCACAATCCAACACAAGAATCCCAAAACCAAATGTGCTTAAATTCGAGAACATACCGCACGCAACAGACTCCTCCTATCTCTTTCTCTTGCATTTTTTATCGCCTGCGCATCACAAATTCATTAGACAAAACAAACCCATCAAATTTTGCCAATTTTCGAATCGAAACCCAATTCAAAACTGAAAATTTTACAAATAAAATAAAAAATAAAATAAAAGAACCAAACCTCTTGAAGCTTCTTCTGCTCAGCCTCCACTTCCGCGAGGTCTTTTCCGACGATTTGCTCGACACGGCAGCAGCACTTGGCACAAACACCTTGTTCCTTGGCGCAAGCAGCGCAGAGCTTATGGTGGGACTGCCGGACGGCGCGTTTGGTACAGCGTTGGCACTTGGCGGGCTCCGTCAGGGTCTTGTACTTTCCGTAACGGCGCTTCCACTCGATCTGTTCCTTGCAGCGTTGGCAGACCCCCGTGATTTCCGACAGCGGCCGGAACCGGCCTCCGACCTCGGTTTCGTTGATCTTGACGCCGAGGTTGGGCTTCCATGCGAATTTGTTTTGGTGCCGACCGCCGTTCATCATGGTTCCGTACGATTTTCAAAGATTCAAACTTTGCGTTTTTGTGAAAACAGAGCAAAAGAAAGTCTATAGGGTATTTGGAGAAGACTGACGGAGAAGATTAACCCGATTTGAAAATGGGTTTTTCTGACCCGTGTTTGATTTGGATGTGGGTTGCTTGGCATGCGATTGGGCTTGTGATTGGCTTGATTTGATACGGTAAATTTGGCCCTTGGGGAATGCAGACACCAACTAGCCTAAAGAGCCTGAGAAAAGTAAGAGGTTTATTTGACAATTGGGTTTTGGGTTGGAACTGCGTAAGACAGTGCCCGAACCTTTATGCTTTTGTACGTGTCGAAGCTTATTCGACAAGAAATTTTACTACTTTAGGACCATTATAGTTATGGTCGTTGCTCTGGAGTTTTGGTCGTCGGCTGTCATATTATCAGGTCACTACCTTTCTTGACCTTCCAGCACTAGACAAGCGTTGGCTCCTATACATGGTCTTACAGCTTTACGAATTCCATACAATCTATGCAAAATTTGATTTACTAATAACAATATTAATCACATCTCATACAAAACACTTATGTTGATAAAAAATCTGTTATAAATTAGGAGATGAGAAACGGCCCAACTTGAAATATGACCAACGATTACCATGGTATTTTTTGGGTAAATATTTAATCACAAATTAACCCATAAAATGTAGTTACCGAGCTAGTTTGAGGAACAGCTTGGTAATATATATATATATATATATATATAATTTTACTATCATTAAAGGGAGGGGGAAGGGAGAGTTCGAAACCTTATCTTGTTCTATCGTTGATAAGAGATTTCTCTATGAATAATACGAATCGGAGTTTGAAAAAGGGGAAGAAGTCCTCGACCGGCAACGGATAGAGGAGGATTTATTCGATCACAGAGCTCAGGCTCCTAGAATATGGTGCCCTTGGGGCTTTCTATTTGATTGTATCGAAAGGCCCAATGAATTGGGATTTCCCTATTGGATTAGGTCATTTCAGGGCAAGCGGATTATTTGTGATGAAGAAGATGAGTTTCAAGAGAATGATTTGGAGTTCTTGCAAAGTGGAACCTTTACAATAATTTAAGGGAGAGAATGTATCAAACCAGGACGCATTGATAATATGTAGTTATCTAGTTATGGACCAAAAAGAAAGTACCTCGTGACCAATTTAGATGCTCTTTCACATTTTGTTATAATTCAGGAAATTTAATTTGGGGAATGAATCCCCTCTTGAGCTTAGGAGGCTGAGCCTTCTGAGCAAATCACACGGGTTGATAGATTTTGATCCAATGACTACAATTATTATAACTTTAAGAAAGACCTCTTACTTGTAGTCGTTGGATCAAAATCCAACGGCCTGTGTGATTTGCTCAGGAGGCTCAACCTCCTAAGCTCAAGAGGGGATCCATTCCCTTTAATTTGAGCCTATTAATAATCTTTCGACTCAACTTGAAAATTTGTCCTACAAACTTATTAATTATTTGAGCCCATCAAATATATCGTTGTCATGTAAAATCCAATTTTGCATGGTTCCTCTACGGCTGCAGTTGGTACAAAGCTTTTATCCCTGCAATATCATCACTGTGCAACGCCCTTCTAGTCTTCCCAGCACCAACGTAGGCGTACATAATGGCATCTGACAATGTACTGTGCTGAAGTCCAAGAACATGCCCTAATTCGTGCGTAGCCACCCACACCAGGTCGTACTGGTTCTTACTTGGAGGCCTGAAGCTCCAATTCTCATCTGCATCCAAGTGCAGCCTTCCATCCGTGGGAGCAAAAGCATGCGCCAAAACCTTACCGGCCCCGTCAAATGGGCTCCCATCTCCATGATCGCGGCGTTGAAAGCTAATCAAAATGTCAGCTGGTGAACTCGGCACTACCTGTTGAAACGTAAAGTTGGTAACTTCAGCCCATAGATCAAATGCTTGCCGACATGCCATCGATAATGCATATAGCGCAGCGGGATTTTTGGCTCCGGCGTTGAATTTGTAGGTAAGATTACGCTTTGTAGGTGGCCATTTCCTGTTTCCTTCGAAGACTGTGTAATGAGAACCCGTACGAACACCATGTGTACGTTGTTCCGTTGCATTTAGGTTGACAAAATTATCAGACACACCACACCTCGGAGTGCTTATTAGGTCAACCGTACCGGAATCAAGCTTTCCTGTGACATTCAGATGATATGTTTTTTGAAATTTTTTCAGTGCAGTTTCCAAAACCTCATCAACCTCAAAGCTGCTGATAAAATTTCTGGAGTTTTTTGGAACACTGTCGGTTAGGTATCCGAAGGTCCCCAGGTAGCTTCTAAGCTCGTCGAGCCCTATTGTCTTTCCCTCTTCCTTTGGAATTGACTGAACTGCGAAGGCATGAATTGCTAGAAAGGAAAGTAACGCTCCCAGTAGATTACAAATAATATTTGTGGCCATTTGTCTCTCAGAAAATACTACTCACACTACACCACAAACCATTTTTTATAGCGGCCCATAAATGTTATAGAAGGTGCTCCATAGCATTTTCTCCAATGCTACATTAGGCGATTACACTTTCCAATTTCTATAGCATTTTTCAACTTCTGTAGAAAAATATTTGTCATGAAATGTTTTTTTATGGCATATATTGAATTCTATAAGATATCATCCATAGTATTTTTCAAATAACCACCCTTTATAGCATTTAAAAACGGCACTTTTATACAATCCATAACATCTAGCAGCATATAGAAAACATCTATAGCAGTGAATTTTTTGGTGATTATGTTATTGAAATCAATTCTTAGTAAAAATCAAAGTGGATTCTGGAAAAGCACTTGAAGTAACTTTTGAACCCAAAAACAATTTCACCAAAAGCGCTTTCAATTATTTTAAAAACACTTTCAAATGAGCACATAATCTACTATTTCTCCAAGATCAAGCAGACCTGAGCTGATAAGACTTCTCTCGTGGAAAAGAGAAAGGTCAAATGTATTAATTAAAGATAAGATTAATACTAAAAAAAATATAATCTTTAATGTTTTTCTTTTTGAAGACCAACTCAAGTATCTGTAAGATATCATAACATCTTAAAGATATTTTCCTATTGCATCTACCGAATGACACACATTGTCCAACTAAACGTTAACACATAGCATGGCAATCCTACACACATGGCCAACTAGCCCCTATAAATGTTCTATTTTCACCAAATTTTAATAAGTTTTTGTTACGCAATAAGGCTCTAAACTCTTTTTTTTTCTTTTTTCTTTCTTTCTTTTTTTTTTCTTCAGAGGAACTGACTTAGCATCAGAGATTAGTGACCAAACCCTGCTACTACATGGGCGCATGACTTTGGTCTTTGATCAAAGTTGTTTAATTATTTTGTAGGTACAAATTTGTCAAGTTGGAAGACGATAGATTTATACTACCAAAAATTGGTGCTTTTATTGAGAGCTTTATTCAAATATCAAAGAAGCACTCACCATCTTTTTTTTAATGTCCCCCTCTTTGATTTTCTCACATGCTCGTAGTCTCTGAATTTTTTTATTAATTCCTGGAAAAAAAAAAAAGGAACATGGTTGGAAAATCAAAACTAGCTACAACGAACAGTACTTTCTACGTGCCATGGTCTTCACCCACGCGATGGACCATGGAGCGACAACAACTGCCGCCACCACCATGGACCACCGTAGCAGCCCAAACCAGAAGTCTACAACTCAAATTTTGTCCATATTGTCCACCACACTTCCACCACCAGTGGAGATGCTCATCGCAAGGAGTAGAACATCCAAGTTCTATTAGATATGTTTTGATTTAAATTTACATAAAAACTTGGGGTTTCATGAGTGTAGTGTTTTAAGAAAATTTCGAGTTTCTATGACACTTATTCGGGTTCAAATTTATGACTTCAAGTACATGGGTATCTGCAAGCAAACTCAATATATATTGAACAATAATATATACAATAGGTAAATAAACATACGTTTGCAGGCCAGTCTCCATAATCATGCCGTCTAGTATTCTTGAAGGTCCATGTTGGTAAGAGCGCAGGTACACCATACACCCAAGAGTGGACTGTGGAGAGTCGGTGCCCTGCTATTATTGGATCGGGTATATGATCCAATGGCATAACATATTATGAGCGGCCTGGAGAGCCATAAAATGTGTCATTGGCGGCTCAGAGAGTCCTTGACCCACACCATGGTGGCCCGAAGAGTCCATGGTTCATTAGTGGCATGAAAGCCCATTTACCTTAGAACAAACTACGTCTTATTCCCTTAGAATAACTTTGTGATCTACTCACAACATCAAAGGTAAAATCGTTATCTAGAGCATATATTTTATGTGTCGCCTTCCTATTACATGTGGTTAATTTGTGTCTTTAAAATTGTTATGCCATCCATGAATTACATAATTATTACAAATTTTTATAAATATTAACTACTAAAGGTTTAGTGTTGGTAGCATTTACTGAACGTTTAAATCATACATTTTATCAAATCGTCGATGTTTTTGTAACTTGCTGGTTTTGTCTTATATTTAAAGTTCAGCGAGTCTCGAAACATATATGAAGATTAAAACAATGTCAGTTTAGTTATAAATAAGCACCATATCAACAGAAAGACTAAAGTACAAGATCAATCTTATATAATTGATTTTTTTTCCTAAACCAATTGAGGAGATATATACCCTCTAATGTTGTTGCCAATATTATAAATGACAACCAAGGGTATTTATTTTTTTTATTTTAGTAAAAGATATATTTTAGGGAACTTTCATGAAAAGGGTTTGGACTAAGTTTATTTTAATAAAAAATTATGATATAACTTTATTTAATGAAAAAGACTTAAATTTTCATAAAAATGACAAAAAACTTAAATTTTAATGAAAATACATAATTTTAATATTTAAAAAAAAAAAAAAAACTGACGTGCGGACCTGCGTGCCCCTCACACAAACTGTTTATGAAACTTACTACATTGTTTATAAAATTTAATGGTACTACACTATTTATGAAACTTACTACACTGTTTATAAAACTTAATGGTACGACACTGTTTATTAAACTTTCTACACTGTTTATAAAACTTAACGGTAAATGCTCGTCCCAAATTTTCAAGTTCTTTCACCAGAATGCAATAACAAGATTATAAAAAAAATTAAAAAAAAATTGAAAAAAAAAAAAACCATGATAGAGATCAACGTCCATGCCGTTAAAGTCATGCATGGCTAATAGCTCAATTTCATTACTAGGAAAATGGGTGATGAGTCCAATGATGTTGCCCCACCCTTACCCCCAACCATCCCAACCCACACCTGATTGATTCCCTCCCAACCATACCGCCAGATGTGCTTTTGAATCGAACGGAACCCACTTCAATTTGAAATTTTAATTTTAGAGGAATAAAATATGCTTGGGATTATGTCTGTGCAACTGAAGGATTGGTTGGGTGCTCTTTGCACGCACCTTTAGTTAGGTTTTTTTGTTTTTTGTTTTCTTTCTCGTCCTTATCATTAAATAAAGTTATATGATGATTTAATTTTTGGTTAAAACTCAAAGTTTTGAAGTTTTTTTCATTAGTTTTCCTTATATTTTACCTTAAGGGGAGGAGGGAGTTCAACTAAGCTATACAACAGGCAAAACCTAATTTGGAATCAAATGTCATCCGCAAAATTCGAATCTAAGACCTCTCACTTACAAGTGAAAATGAATACCACCAGATGATAATACTAAGTAGCGACAACCAAGGGTATTAAGCATTAATCAGTTAAGTACCCGATAAAGATAAAGTACGTTATAATTAGCCGTTCATTTACACACAATCGATAATGCATGTAAAACACCCAATACATCAATGGTAGCAAAATTGGTATGATCATGACCTCACTAAAAGAGATCAAATTAATTGAAGAGTTGTATCAGTCTATAATCGATACTGTTATATTATTGAATGTTGGTTGTGTACATCTTTTGTCATATAAAATTTGAGCCCCTTGACATTGCTCACATTTCACACGGTAATTACGGCACTATATATTGTATTAGAATAATCAAATATATCATTGTCATGTAGAATCCAATTTAAGCATGTTTCCTCTATGGTCGCAGGTGGTACAAAGCTTTTATCCCTGCAATATCATCACTGTGCAACGCCCTTCTAGTCCTCCCAGCACCAAACTAGGCATACATAATGGCATCAGAAAATGTACCATGCATAAGTCCAAGAACATGCCCTAATTCGTGCGTAGCCACCCACAACAGGTCAAACAGCTGGTTCTTACTTGGAGGCCTGAAGCTCCAATTCTCATCTGCATCCAAGTGCAGCCTTCCATCCGTGGAAGCAAATGCATGCGCCAAAACCTTACCGGGACCGTCAAATGGGCTCCCATCTCCGTGGTCCCGGCGTTGAAAGCTAATCAAAATGTCAGCTGGTGAACTTGGCCCTACCTCATGAAATGCAAATTTGGTAACTTTCGCCCATAGTTCAAATGCTTGTCGACATGCCATCGATAATGCATATGGCCCAACAGGATTTTTTGCTCCGGCGTTGAATTTATAGGTAAGATGGCGCTTTGTGGGTGGCCATCTCAAGTTTCCATTGAAGAAAGTATAATAAGAACCCATATGAACACCATGTGTTCGTTGTTCCGTTGCATTTAGGTTGACAAAATTATCAGGCATACCACACCTTGGAGTGCTTATTAGGTTAACCGTACTGGAATCAAGCTTTCCTGTGACATTCAAATGATATATTTTTTGGAAACTTTTCAGTGCAGTTTCCAAAACCTCATCAAATTCCAAACTGCTGTTAAAATTGCTGGAGTTTTTCGAACTGCTGTCATTTAGGTATCCGAAGGTCCACAGGTAGCTTCTAAGCTCATCAAGCCCCATTGTCTTCCCCTCTTCATTTTGAACTGACGTAATTGTGAAGGCATGAATTGCTAGAAGGAAAAGTAAAGCTCCCAACCGATTGCAAAGAATATTTGTGGCCATTTGTCTCTCAGAAAACACAACTCAAAATGTATATGGAAATATATATTTTTTCCACTTCTTTCGTTTAATTATTTATACTTATGTGTTTTGAGAGTAGATTCATGGATTAAAATGTTTCAATTTGTTTGTACCATACTTGATCCAATCCTGAAACTACAGAGTACCGGTTTACAGTATACCATCAAGGACCTACAAGACTTTCCCTCCAATTAAGAGGTCAATCACAACGCGACACAGTGTCGATATTAGAGGTCAATCACAACGCAACACGTGTCGATATCAGAGGCCAATCACAGCACGACACGTGTCAATGTCAGAACAAAGCTAGAAACTCTCTTCTATAAAAGGGATCATTCTCCCACAAAATTCCCTAATGTCATTTGTACTAAACTATTCACTAGAACTCACTAAAGGAGAGCTTGAACCTATGTATTTGTGTAAACCCTTCACAATGAATGAGAACTCCTCTAATCCGTGGACGTAGCCAATCTGGGTGAACAACGTACATCTTGTGTTTGCTTCCCTGTCTCTATATCTTTACATACTTATCCATATTAGTGACCGGAACAATCTGGCGAAGGTCACAAACTTGACACTTTCTGTTGTACCAAAGTCCTCGCTGATTTTGTGCATCAACACAATTAATAAAAAATAGCCCATATTAATTGTATAATATATATTGTGCATCCCCTTGATCAAAGAAAGAAACTATACTATTGTGCATGAATGAGAAGAAAACTTGGTCTTGTGCATGAATATGTTGGATTTTTGGATCGGTGGGCTCGTGGGGCTCCACTCTAATGACATCAATATTGTCCTCAACTTTACTACCTGTCTAATCCGTCAAGTATAGGGTTTTACCACAAAATGCCTCGGTATTAGTTAGAGTAGGGCAATCATACTTAAACACATTATTTTTTATTTTGCACCCACCAATGTGGGGTTCCAACACTCCCCTTCACGTGTAACCCCATTTAGTGGTTAACACATAGATATCCACACATCGACTATTAAAACTCAGAGGTCGACTCTATGTTAAGAGTTGAGACTTGTTTTCAATGGAACTCAGATGCCGACTCTATGTTAAGAGTCGTGGCTTGTTTCTTTATTGGTGACAAGCTCGTTAGCTTGCACGGGCCCGAACCTTGGCTCTGATACCATGTTGAAAATTTTTAGATCAACGGGCCCGGGGAAAACAAGTATGGACTCTTAACATAACGTCAACCTTTGAAATTCAATCGCCGATGTATGGATTTCCACGTGTGAACCATTAAATGGGGTTACACGTGAGGGGGCGTGTTGGCAGTCCCACATCGGTGGGGGAAGTCAACAAGGGTGGGTTTAAATATGATTTTCTTAATCTAACTAATATCGAGGCCTTCTGTGGTAATCCCCAACACCTGACGAATTGAGCAGGTGATAAAGTTGGGAACATTATTGGTGTCGTTAGAGTGGGGCCTTTCGAGCCTGTCTATCTAAAAAAATTTCAACATGGTATCAAAGCCCACAGTTATGGGCTCGTGCAAGCCAAAGGCTTGTCACTAGGAAGTGTGGGCTTGGAAACAAGCTTGGACTCTTAACATAGAGTCAGCCTCTGAGTTCTTAAGAGGCACTTCGTAAAAAAAATTGAATACAAGTGTGGACTTCATTGGAGCCAACCTCTAAGTTCCAATTGCCGATGTGTGGATCTTCACATGTGAACCACTAAATGGGGTTACACGTGAGGGGGCGTGTTGGCAATCCTACATCGGTGCGGAAAGTCAACAAGGGTGGCTTTAAATATGATTACCTTACTCTAACTAATATCGATGCCTTTTGTGGTAAAACCCCACACCTGAAGAATTGGGCAGATGGTAAAGTTGGGGACAGTATCGGTGTCGTTAGAGTGGGGCTCCCTAGGTTCGTCGATCTAAAAAAATTCAACAGACTAATCAGCGGTACATATTTCTAAACAATGTCACTATGTCATTCATGAATCACATAATTATTATTAATTTTTATAAGGGTAATAGGAACCCCAAAATTTTTAAACCAAATGATGTGGTTGTAGGTGATTGGATTGTTAGCTAAATGTCAATTAACGTGTTTGATACACATCATGTGGTTTACAAATTTTTTTAAAAAGTCTCCAAACATTTTCTTTTTTATATATCTTAACTATTAAAAGTTTAACCGTAGATTTTATTAAAACGTCAGTCTTTTTGTAACTTGTTGGTTTTGCCTTACTTTCCATTTCAAAATAGATGAGCATAAATTCTATGAAAACAATGTACTAGCTTTCTGGTTTTTTTTGAGTACATTGATATTTTTACACTAAGGAAAGGGGGAGTTTAGCTAAGCCACACAATGAGCAGCCTAATTTGGTATCGAATTCGCCATGTACGAGATTCGAACCTAAGATCTCTCGCTTCCGAGTGAAGAGGAATACCACCAGACCCTAGTATTGAGTGGCTCTAGCTTTTTGGTTTTAAACACCATAAATAAGAGCTATAAAGTTGAGTTGCATGCATGACAATGGGATCGAACGACCATCGATGAATGATATTGTAGATAGAATTTGTATATTTTGTTAAATTGTATTACTTATCTCTCCAATATGGAGGTATTATATATACATCCACACCCTGTAGCACAAGGAATAATAAAAGAGAATTCAACCTAAACTAGGAAGGAATCTCTCTAACATCAGAAACCAAATTACATTCCAAGACTAACTAATTTATGACTCACGTCAACATCGTATGGGGGCTTGAGTTTGTTCTATAAAGTTCAGCAGAGTGCAGGAGAAGATTCAAATTTGGATGATGGAATGGACGGTGGAGATGAGGTTGAGAGTGTGAATGGGAGTGATGTAGGGTTAATTAGTTGTAGTTGGGAGGACTCGTCGGAGTTGAAGAACAACAGGGTGAACAAGACTAGTAGCGAGCATAATTCTACTACTAATGAATCGATTAAAGGAATGCATGGGACGATCTTCTCTGAGATCAACGGCCTAATGAATTTGTTGTTTCTTAAATTCTGCGAAATTAAATTTTAAAGTAGTCTTGAATGTTGGGGAAAAAATTATAGTACACGACGCTAACACAAGTGTTGGAGAGACAACACAAGTAAACAAATTACTTGTATTACACACACAAAATATTACAACACACAAACCCTTAAGGACACTCTTTAGAAGCTATGACACTCACTCTTTCTAGAGACACACTCTAGAACACTCACACTCCTACAAGATTACTCTTACTTCTCACTCTCGTACTTAGCTATCTTCTTAGCTACTTGGTTGGTTGCTTGTTGATACAAATGTTGTGGATGCCTTCTCCTTTTATAGGCATGGATGGAACCTTGGAGAAGTATGGACACATCATGCTAGAGATATCTAGATAATTCCACTAACTTCTTAAGCTAGAATTATCTACACTAATCTTGCATGTTGGTGGAAACCTCACCATTCTTCTAGACTCTTCCACCAACTTGAACTTTGCTAGAATTCTCTAGCATGTGTATGGATCTTTCTTTGTCCATGGGCTGGATCCATCTTGGGCCAAGGCAAGATTACACTTCAACACAAATACCAATTGGGCTGGTGTTGATCTTCAACATTGAACAATTAAGTATTCGTCTTATGATATTTCTCTTTCTAATTTTGATAGAGAGGTTAGCTAGGTTGTACGTAGAATATCACCAAGATTCCGTGATCCGTTGCTGAACGTCAAAAACAGAAGGACGACCAAAACTAGTACCATTGAATGGATCAACACGAGGATCAATGTTTGCGACGGTGTTTATAAACTAATAATGCAAGAGTTGAACGAGTCGAAGAAGCACTGGAAATAAAAAACGAGCTGGAGGATATAATTGTCAGTCGTGGCGCGATAAGCGTAAATTGTTTAATGGCACTTGGTGCGAGTTACAAATATATCTTATCTATCAAGCAACCTACCATTCTTAATGACCTTTTAATTTCCTCTCTTACCACTTGATTTCTTAAATATCAAGCTACCATAAATCTTTTTTCTTCTTTTTTTTCTTCTTCCTTGTAGCAAGTAGCAAATGGAATTAAAGAATGCATGCATAACTGCATATCGTATGTTGAAGTTCCATGTACTTGTCCATCTATATATCCAATTCAAAGTTTGCTTATGCAGATCAATCTCAATTTCCGTTTAAAGTCTGCGCCAATGACTCAGCAACCTCTATTAATTCCAATCGAAATCGCCCTTGTGCAAATTAGGAAAGAAAAAGAGACTATACAGTTGGATAATTTGATAAACTTCGGTTGGTCAACCCTAATCTAAATTATTTGTCGGTAATATGGTATAAAATATGCCTCATTTGATGTAAAAGCTCATGCCTAAAGTGTACCGTTAATTTTTACTTCGTGTAGTAAAGAAGCATTATTAGGCATGTATAACACAAACTAAAGGCTTGTTTTGGAATCAATCATTAGTAAGAAATACACAATAAACTTGTAGGAAGCACTTCAAATATTTTTAGAACTAAAATTTATTCTTTAAAAACTTTTTTCAATCATTTTAAAAACTCTTCTAAACGATCAAGCTCTAATACAATAATAGATTAGTACCTAGTTTCATGTACACACGCATTACTGTCTCATTTAATTTGACTTTGCGCACATTCAGCCGTACATGCACGTGTTTCTTTTTATTGTGAATAAACTAATCCCATAGACCCTAAAACAAATATTTTGGAATGTTTGACCAAAAACAATCTTCTAGAGGATGATGTTGATTGTCTACCAAGAAAAAAAGAGCATTCATTATTCCCAAATATAAAAAAGCTTGTTACAGGTGAGGAAATTGGCACTTTTCACATTATAAAACATAAATTAATTACGCAGGGACTACATCTATGTCATCTTAAAGCCAGCTAGCTTTCGGGATAAACGATTTTGTACGACTTTTTCACGTTTCCCCCTTTAAATACGACCACCCTTCATTGAACTCTTCCGTGCAAAGTTTCGACTTTCAATTTATTTCACAATTATTCACAACATTCTTTGCTTAGTTCTTGGAAACTAGAACACAATGTTGCACAACCTGCTTGGCAAAATCACGGGCCAGCAGCAAGATGGGGAGAGTAATATTGGAAAAATCAACGGGACTGTGGTGTTGATGAAGAAGAATGTGTTGGACTTCAATGACTTCAATGCTTCGGTTCTTGATCGTGTGCATGAGTTGGTCGGCCAAAGGGTTTCTCTGCAGCTCATCAGTGCTGTTCATGGTGATCCTGGTGAGCTTCAAATCCTCTTTGCATTGTTATTTTTCTTTTTAGAGTAGTTGATAGGTCTGTAAAATCGGATGAGGTTCGATGAAATTGCTCAGGGTCGAGGGTCTAGGGTCTAGGGTCGTTTAACCGTATTTTGGATAGTGGCCTAGCCCGTCCCAAGTTTGTCAAGTTTTTAAATGGATAGCGTCTTGAAAACTTTTTTTTTCCTATACGAAAATTGTCTTGAGAACTAAATTATAGCAACTTGCACAAAATGGCCCTTACTTGAGGTTAGTTATTTGGATGATCATGATAATATAATGCATCTTATTAATTGCTTAATTATTGGTTTACTAGATAATGAATTATAGAAGATCTGAGAATATGATTTAACTTGGATATGTGTATTTGTTTTTGCAGACAATGGATTGAAGGGGAAGCTTGGAAAACAAGCATATTTGGAAGACTGGATTACCACAATTACACCGTTAACAGCAGGAGAGTCTGCATTCAAGGTTACCTTTGACTGGGAAGAGGAAGTAGGAGTTCCAGGAGCATTCATAATACAAAACAATCATCATAGTGAGTTCTTCCTCAAGACTGTCACACTCGATAATGTCCCCGATGAGGGCCGTGTCCACTTTGTTTGCAATTCATGGGTTTACCCTGCCGAAAAATACACCAAAGACCGTGTTTTCTTCGCTAACAAGGTAATCGATGATTTGCGCCAACTCGTTGCAATCTGCCGCACTTTGTGCAAGCATAGTTTACTATATGACTAACGTTCGTGACTGCAATATGTTTGTGCAGACTTATCTTCCAAGCGAAGTACCATTGTCGTTGCGCAAATACATAGAAGAAGAACTGGTAGAATTAAGAGGAGATGGAAAACGAAAGCTCGAAGAGTGGGATAGAGTCTATGACTATGCTTACTACAATGATCTGGGAGATCCTGACAAGGGTTCGGAATATGTCCGCCCAATTATGGGAGGGTCTACTGAGTACCCTTACCCTCGCAGGGGCAGAACTGGCCGACCACCAAAAGAGACGGGTAAACGATTAACATATGATGCTTTTCTTTTTACTTTTGGTGTAGTCTCTCTGACAACTGTACAAGTTGATATGCTAATTTGGATATTAACTAACTGATGTTATGATCGTTGAAATTTTTCTGATCCTATAATCTAACAGATCCTAACACCGAGAGTAGGTTACCGATTGTTTCAAGCTTAAGCATATATGTGCCAAGGGATGAACGGTTTGGACACTTGAAGATGTCAGACTTCCTTGCATATGCACTGAAATCTATAGCTCAGTTTATTAGACCAGAGATAGAAGCCTTGTTTGATAAAACTCCTAACGAGTTTGACAGCTTCGAAGATGTGCTTCAACTCTACGAAGGAGGAATTCTGTTGCCTGAAGGTTTATTCAAGGAAATCGGAGACAACATACCTGCGGAGATGCTCAAGGAAATTTTCCGAACTGATGGTGCACAGTTCCTCCGATTCCCAATGCCTGAAGTGATCAAAGGTAACGATAACATACTGAATTTTGACGCTTACAATTGCCTATGAATTATGATTTCTATTTTCTTTCATGTAACGTGATAATGGTTTAATGATCTGGAGCAGAGGACAAGACTGCTTGGAGGACTGATGAAGAATTTGCCAGAGAAATGCTGGCTGGAGTGAATCCTGTCAACATTCGCCTTCTTCAAGTACTCTTCATATAAATTTGTGTGTGTTTTGTTTTTGTTTTTTTATTTTTTATTTTTTGCAATGTTAATGGACAAAAAAGCAAAGAAAACTTTTCGTTTTTCTCCATCTTTAATCATATTTGCTTCAAATGAATTGGAGGAATTCCCGCCGGCAAGCAAGCTAGACCCAAAAGTTTACGGTGATCAAACCAGTACAATAACCGAACAACATATAAGGAATAACTTGGATGGACTAACAGTGGACGAGGTAATATCTTACATTCGTTTCCTTTGATAGAAAAACTGATAGTATGCTGGTACATTGCAATTAGCTGATGTTGACTTAACATCATTTCGTAATAATGAAAATGAATTTGGTTCGATAGGCACTCAAGAACAAAAAGCTATTCATATTAGATCATCATGATGCATTGATGCCGTACCTGAGGCGGATAAACTCAACTTCCAACAAGATCTATGGTAGCAGAACTCTCCTGTTCTTGAGAAGTGATGGAACTTTGAAGATATTAGTGATCGAATTAAGCTTGCCTCATCCCGACGGAGATCAATATGGTTGCATTAGTAATGTTTACACACCAGCTGAACAAGGTGTAGAAAGCTCCATATGGCAACTGGCTAAAGCTTATGTGGCCGTAAACGACTCTGGAAATCATCAACTTATCAGTCACTGGTATAACTCTTTTGAAGAAAATGGTCTTGGTAAAAAGTTTATCATACATGTTGAAATGTGGTTTTCTGAATTTGATTTTTTTTTTTCCCTATATTTTGGTGACAGGTTAAACACCCATGCGGTGATTGAGCCAGTTATAATAGCTGCGAATAGGCAGCTAAGCGTGGTTCATCCAATTTACAAACTTCTGCAGCCTCATTTCCGCGATACCATGTACATCAATGCAATTGGCAGGGGAATCCTCCTTAATGCTCGCGGAGTTATAGAGTCGACAGTTTTTCCAGCTAGGTATGCCTTGGGGTTGTCATCAGCTGTTTATAAAGATTGGGTTTTTCCTGAGCAAGCTCTCCCTGCAGATCTCATCAAGAGGTAACACAAATCAACAATTTCCGACTTATTAGCAACTAAAAGTTACTCAAACGAGCAATATTCATTTCTTATTTTAACCACATTGTGTTGCCTTCTATCAATACAGAGGAGTGGCAGTCAAGGATGAAAATTCTCCGCACGGTCTTCGCCTACTGATAGAGGATTATCCATATGCTGTTGATGGGATTGCAATCTGGTTTGCAATAAAAACTTGGGTCGAAGACTATTGCGCTTTCTACTACAAGACCAATGACATAATTCAGACAGACGTCGAGCTCCAATCCTGGTGGAAGGAGCTCGTAGAGGAGGGTCATGGGGACATAAAAGATGAGCCATGGTGGCCTAAAATGCAGACTTTTGAAGAGCTAGTTGAAACTTGCACTATCCTCATATGGACTGCTTCTGCCCTTCATGCAGCCCTCAACTTTGGACAGTTCTCTTATGCAGGATACCTTCCCAACCGCCCAACCATAAGCCGAAAATTCATGCCTGAGAAGGGAACTCCCGAATACGAAGAGCTCGAGGCCAGCCCCGATACCGTTTTCTTGAAAACAATTACCGCTCAGCTGCAGACTGTACTTGGTATTGCCACCATTGAGATTTTGTCAAGGCATTCCACTGATGAAGTGTATTTAGGGCAGAGAGACACTCCTGACTGGACATCGGACATAGCTGCATTGGAAGCTTTCGAGAAATTCGGAAAGAAACTGGCTGAAATCGAGGATCGAATTACAAGTATGAACAATGATGATAAACTGAAGAACCGAGTTGGATCAGTCAAGATTCCATACACTTTGCTCTTTCCTACAAGTGAAGGTGGAATTACCGGCAAGGGAATTCCCAACAGTGTCTCTATCTAAACGGGATGTCTTTCAAGCTCCTATAAATACAGAGTGAAACCACTCACTATGTATTGTATTTCATTTTTTCCACCCATTGTATGTTGTATTTGATTATGCGAGTTTGAGACGTGAGACTTTACATTCTTTAAACATGCCTTATTGTATGAGAACACCACCACTTATGAACGGGTTTTAGGTATTCATGGTATAAAACGAGCGTGCATTTGACACAATTCCGAATTTAAGAAAATAAACACATCTAATTTCCTACCAGACGTTTAAGAATGAGTACTCAAATGCTCGAATCATGTGTCAAAAATACACAATTTTTCCTTTTTAAAGTGTATTTGAATTGTTTTCGACATTTATGAGATCAACCGAGTGTGTATTTGACACACTTTGGAATATTAGGAAATAAACACATCTAATTACTTTAGTCTAAAGTAGGAGGGAAAAGGGCACTGTATATGCCATCAATTCTTTGCCGCTCGATTCATCTTATTTATTAGAACTTGGTAATTTTGTACGTAGGGTTTTCTATTTGCTGCTTGATTTCATCTTATTTACAAGAAACTCATGAGATTTGGGCTGGGTTTGGAGGGTAATTTTGTCTCTGACCGTATCCCTATATATATTTACGGTTTTACCAATCTATTCTAAAATGGACCTTCGATTTTGCATTATTTACACTTCTGCCATCTCAAGTCAAGGGATGTGAGAGAGAGAGACAGAAACACACCCATTTGGCTTCGTTTCCCCTTTGTCAAACCCTAGCAGCCACAACACCATCTCTGGAATAGCATCGGCTCCTGCTTCCTAAAACCAAAACCACACAAACTGGCCTTCATTTCTGTATCCTCGACAAAACACACTTCCCCTACGCAGGTTGGGGAGGAGGACGAACGACGAATCCGCTCTGAGTCAGCTCGGCCTCCGCCGCAACCCACTCATCGCTTCAAAGATCCGAGTTTTCTACATGTCGGTGAAGTACAAATTTCTTCCATAACTCTCGATTCAACCTCATCTCTTCTCATTCGGTAAGATTATCACACCACTTTTAAGAGAATTGAAACTTGAAAGATTCAAACTTTTGGATGGTTGAGAATCTGGATTTTGTGCAGAAAAGAAAAACAGGGTTGTTATTGTTTATCTGTACTGGTATGTCTTACTGAATTATTATTTCAAATGAAGCTGTCGGCCAGCTTCTGTTTTTCCTCCAGTCTGCTGCTTCAATCAGAAAAGCAGCATTTGCTGCCAATTAACAATGCCAAAAGAAAAGGAAGGCCACTTCTTATCCTATTTTTCTTCCCCAAAACAAGGAACAAACACAATGATGTCCTCCTCCTCCTGTTTTTTTTTTTTTTTTTTTTTTTTTGTACTATTAGCCGAAAGTGAATTTGGCCACATATTCAACAGTTTTTGCAGGAAAATGATGAACGTGCAGCAAAGCAAGCAGCGGTATGGGCTGCACTGAGAGAAGGAAGGGGGACAGAAGGGTTGACGGGTTGGAGGGAGAGGTTCGCCGGGACTTAGGGGACAGGATTTTCGGCAGGGAGGTGTGGGTGGCTGTGGCTGTGGCTGATGCATCGGTCAGAGGGTTGTTGGGGGGACGAGAGGAGGGGGACAAAGGGACTGACAGATTGGAGGAGGGTATGGGTTTTCAGTTTTTCCCTCTGATTCAATAGGTAATGCGCTGTTTTAAATTCATTGTTTATTGTTTGGTTTGCCATTTGCTTTGTTAAAACTGTCATTGAAATTTTGTTGTTTCACTGTACTCATTTCTGTGCTTCTTCCTGCTGTTTGCTTCTCATCCCTCAGTTGGTAGATTGTTTTTCCATTTCTTGGTTCCTTAATTTTGTTAGGTGTTAGACAAAATAATTTCTGATACAAATCTTTTTACTGTGTTCGAATACAAACTCTTATTCTCTCAAATTTTGGCTATGTGATGTATCCTGGCAGGTGAACCATATGGACGTTTTTGAGAAACAGAGAGCTTCATCCACTGGAATGTGGAATTGGTAGCAGCAGGTCAGTTCCCCTTCTTTTTCTTATCTTGATATGTTACGAACAACATGATCAATGGTCGTGATCGTATGGTGGTTTTATCGTCGCTGTCATATGTTTCTCCGAAGTTATTTTCCTGTCTTTTGATTGATTCCTGATTGGTAGATGTATTGTGCTATATGACAGTGCGTGAGCATTTCAAGATTCCCTGACAACATATCATCATTGGAGATGTTGATTGAGTGAATTGATTACAACATATATAACTATGACAGTTCCATACAACAACAAAGTCTTTTCTCACTACGTTAGGTCAGCTAAAACAGTTCCATAAACAAGATTAAATAATAAATATGGTTTCAGGTCTTTAGGTATTGAGATTCAAAGTTTCAGGCCATGTCGAATTTAGCCCAAGTGGGTTGGAATCTCCTTAGAGATTTGATCAAATCAATAATTTTTCCAGTAAGGCTGAGAAAATTATTATGTGTCATCTGCTGACAGCATTATAAATATTAAAATACTGCTTAAATATTCATCACGTTAAGGTTTTCATGGTTATTCGAGAATATCATATTTAGATCCCTAGAATTCTTTATATAGGACTGACTGGGCTCCTATTTTAAATGACAGGTCAAATCCTCAATTTTTATGACAGCCTTCGCACTTGGGGTACACTTTCAAGTGATCTGAGGGTCCTCAGGTAGTATTATATCCTTTTGGACCGTATAGACGGAAGAGCCTGTTTTCAAGGCATGAAATGAAAACAATTTGGCTTTTGGTTTTTGCCTCATGAATTATGAGAGCGATTGATTACATTATTATGTGTAGTACATGGTATTTTTTTTCTAGTACAATGTGGTTAAAGCTGGTGCATTCAAGTCTCGCAGCAACGTTCGGCATTTTTACTAGTATACTACTAAACGTCTAAAAATAAATACCCAAAAAGATTAAAAACTCGTTGGGTCAACTCTCCCAATTTGTTCTCTTATATTAAAGGACAATGCAAAAAGACTTGGGGAAATGACTTCTACAAACTTTTTCTCTCTTGCGTACGCTTTTGTTTTAGTCGTTCCGATTAAACAAATTAAAAGAGTTAATGACAATAAGTAAGAGAAAGTGTTAAAAAAACATTAAAAAGAATATGCAGAAATCATTTTCCATCTTTGATGACATGCATGTCAAAGACTCCATTGATAATTGGTATACGCAAGAGAGAGGATGTAACTTGACTAATAGATGTTGATCGAGAATCTTTATTCCAAAACTTGACTTGAAAAGTCTTTGATGATCATATGTCCCACTTAAATCTCAGCAATTTCCAGTGAGAGAGAAACACACAACCACACATATGACATATCTATAAACAAGTGCTGATCACTGTATTCATGCATACAACCCAAGCAACAAATTAACACCTTTATACCATTTACCATGACCATATCAAATTTCATCTCTCATCTGTACCTTTCCTTGTTTCTACACATAATCATTGCCACCACACTCGCCGCCACCGATCCCCCACCTATCTACACTCCGGTGGAAGATATCACTGTCATCTACACTCCGGTGGAAGATATCACTGTCAATTGTGGCGGTTCCGGCCTGTTATTTAATAAATACGATCAACGAAATTGGAATGGAGATATCAGCTCAAAGTTTACCCCCATAGACCTACACCGAGCAGCTGGTAGTAACACATCCATGTCCAAAGAAGCACCTCGCTCGTTCTCTGTCCCCCAAATTCCTTACACCACAGTTCGGCTTTCTCGCTCTGAATTTACTTACAGATTTAACCTCACCGCCGGCCAAAAGTTCATCCGCTTGTACTTTTACCCTGTTTCGTACCCTGACTTTGACCGCTCCGAAGCGCTCTTTTCTGTCAAAGCAGGTGGATTTACCTTTCTCAACAACTTCAATGCTTCTGTCAATGCCGATGCCGATGCTTATGAGGAGGGGACATTATACAGAGAATTCTGCATCAACATTGAGGAAGAAGAACAAATTCTAAACATCACATTCACTCCCAGTCGAAGCAAAGCAAGCCCGGATGCGTATGCGTTTATCAACGGAATTGAAATTGTGTCCATGCCCCCAAATCTTTACTACACTGCACCAGAACACCCCTATGGGATTGAAATCATAGGCACCGAAAATACGATTCGCGTTGAAAACAGCACTGCTATGGAGACAGTTTACAGAATCAACGTATACGGACGCGGGTTGTTTTTCAATGAAGACACCGGCTTGTACCGCAACTGGGAGGGTTATTCATTTGAGCTAACTTACTTGGATGATGCAAGTTTTTGGTCGAGCGTTCAAGCACAAAACCCAAGCCTTCATCTCGAGTTTCATCTCCACTTTGCAAAAACACCCAACTACTCCGCTCCGGAGCAACTTTACAAAACCGGGAGGTCAATGGGCCCGGACGCCACCATCAACCAGCGGAACAACCTCACCTGGGGATTTCCTGTCCCTCCCAAGTTTTATTACCTGGTTAGGCTTCATTTTTGTGAGTTTCAGGCTGAAATTAGAGAGATTGGTGACCGAGTGTTTCTGATCTACATAGCCAATCAAACGGCTGAAACAGGAGCCGACATAATCCAGTGGAATGGCGGGAATGGGATTCCAACGTACAGAGACTATGTTGTGTTCATGCCTTCCGGCACGGGAAACGAGGAGAAAGTATTTCTCTACGTCACACTGCAAGCAAACCCTCAACATTGGAAGACTAAGTACTTGGATGCAATTTTGAACGGGCTGGAGATCTTCAAACTGAATGAAACAAATGGTAGTCTCGCTAGACCAGACCCCGATCCCCCACATCCTCATCCGCAAGAAGTGAGCCCATCAAGCAAAAATCTTTCCAAGTCAAGGACTCATTTTATTGCCGTTGTTGCTGGTGCAGTTTCCGCCGCACTCGTAGTGTTTTCCGTACTAGGGTTACTCTTGGTTTTTAGACACCGACGGAAATATGCCAAGGGCTACGTACACTCTAGCCGCAGAGCGGCAAACTCAACCAAGTCACGGGGCGGCTCAACTTTGCCGTCCGATTTGTGTCACTACTTTTCGCTAAAGGAGATCAAAGCCGCCACCGAAAACTTCAATGATACTTTCATTATTGGTGTTGGTGGATTTGGCAATGTGTACAAAGGGTATATCGATGGTGGGGCTACCCCGGTTGCGATCAAACGACTGAAACCCGAGTCTTCACAGGGGGCCAACGAGTTCAAGACAGAAATTGAGATGCTCTCCCAACTCCGCCACCGCCATTTGGTGTCTCTCATCGGATATTGCACAGATGAAAATGAGATGGTCTTGGTGTACGATTACATGTCACGTGGGACCCTGGCCGACAATCTCTACCACTCTAACAACCCGCCTCTGGCCTGGGGACAACGCCTCCAAATTTGCATTGGCGCCGCGCGAGGGTTGCACTACCTTCACAGCGGTGCCAAGGGCACTATCATCCACCGTGACGTGAAAAGCACCAATATATTGTTAGATGAGAAATGGGTGGCCAAGGTTTCGGATTTCGGGTTGTCAAAAATGGGAATGACCACCGCTTCCAAGACTCACATCAGTACAATGGTCAAAGGAAGTTTTGGGTATTTGGATCCAGAATACTACAGACGCCAGCAGCTTACTGAAAAGTCTGACGTGTACTCATTTGGGGTGGTTTTGTGGGAAGTATTGTGTGCAAGGCCAGCGCTGATGCATAAAGTGGAGCCGAGGGAAATGAACCTCGCAGAGTGGGCCAAATTTTGCCATGGAGAGGGAACACTTGATCAAATCATTGATTGTAACTTGAAGGGTAAAATTGACGCCGAGTGCCTGGATAGATTCATTGAGATTGCTATTAGTTGCATTCATGATAAAGGAGTGGAACGACCTTCGATGAATGAGGTTGTGAGGGGGCTTGAATTTGCATTGCAGCTTCATCAAAAAAGCATTGCAAGTAATGGTGACGGTGGCGTTAGTACTGAACAAGGTTGTGCTAGCAATGAATCCATTCAATGTATATCCGCGACAATCTTCTCTGAAGTTGATGATCCGAAAGGAAGATGACGCGTGCAACGTTTGGCCAAAAAGCAATTGTATTTGAATACAAAACTAATTCAAGAGAATTATGTTCCAACTGCATTCTTAATCACTGTACTCAGTACTAAACTGTCCGAATCCGATATGATTAGTTTCGACTTTGTACACTTGTTTTTTTTTAATTTTTCCAATTAAACAAATCAAAAGAAAATGAATGAAAATAGTAAAATGTAGTGTACAAAAAATGAAAAATTATGTAAAAAATCACTTCACGACTCCCAATTGGATGACAAGCATGCCAACGAGTTGATTGATATTTCGTCAAGCCCACTGCCTACGCAAGAAAGAAGCCAGAAGATGATGTTGCGTTCATGAACAATATCAATGCATATATTAGGGTGTAGTGGCTGGGGAGTCATCGGATTGGATGACCAAAACAAATTGATTTATCCTCGTTGTGGATTTAACAAAAAAAAATTAACGACCATACCTTTTATGCTTGATATCATTAGGCTATCTACAATTGAAGAGACTAAAATCTTAAAATTTAGCTCCGTATTTTTAACTATTTATCTATATATAAGAGATTAGTTAGTTTTTTTTCTCCAATGGTAAGAGACCTATAATTCTCACCCCCCCCCCTCCCCCCCCCACCAAAAAAAAAACAAAAAAACTTTATAATTTTGTTAAACTTTTTAATTCGTTCATTTTTTTTTTTGGCTAATAATTTTGGAATAAGGTTTTGTATAATCATCTTGTTTTATTTTTATGAACATTTTAATGTAAAAAATTTCAAAAAAAAAAAAAAAGTAGTGATATATGAGAAAATTGATTTATTTTATTTTATAGATAAGTGAACAATATGGATGGGTATTATATAATTTTGGTGTTGGATCTAATTTGGATTAATTAATAATATTATTTTTACCGTTGGATTTAAATTTGACCCATTAGATATCGTTTATTACCGCAAAAACTGATTAAATTGAATTTGAGCCTTTGGATTTTAAATGGATGTAGTTGGGCCCCACACCGGATCCGAACCCAGGAGGCGGTTCAGCCGCTGGATCACAACGGCGAGACAATCTGCGCCGTAAACATGTTGCTCTCCATGCTCTTGCCCGCAGAGAATTCCTCCACCTTATGTTGCAGACTTACGCTGGGCCTGCGTGGGCCTTGTTTCACGTGATGGAATAGAGAAAGCTAGGGCCTTCGGGCCACTTAAAACCTTATCCACCGGCACGGCGCGCCCCCCGCGCCGGGGGGGGGGGTGGTGGGGAAGGTAGGAGGGTGCGTGGGGGTGGTGGGGTGGGTTGTTGGGAAGCAATCAAAATTTGAGTATTTTTTTGTTTCCCATCACCCTTGGAGACAACCTTAAGATTTTCCTAATATGATAAGCATAAGGCTAACCGAAACTTGTAGCCAAACACTAGTTTTATGTCATAAGGTTTTTTGGAATTTTTGGCACTTCTTTCACTTCTGGTAGTATATTTTTTCTTCGAGGGAGTTTTTGGAATGATTTTAAAACATCAACGGGTGTTCGTGTTACTTTCAAAACCCAAGGGGGTTTTGGGAAGAATCGATAAACCTCAAGAATGTATGCGTAATTAACCTCTGTCAAAAGTTGTATAACAATTAAAGTTGCTTTTGACGTTTTCAACTCAATGATTGACAAGTAAGGTTTCCAAACCAATAATAAGTATAAATGCTGCCAATGGCAGACTTTCATGCAACAAATTAATACTGTCATAATAGCATTTCAAACTAATAATAAAAGTCTTGTGAAGGATTCCCTTCAAATGATCTTGTATACTTCGTCTTTTTTATTAGAATCCTAATCAAGTTGTGATGTGGATGGAGCAACCAAATAAAGAACAATAGTTGGTTGGTCACAAGAAGAGTAGGAGTTCCTAATCAAAATTGTTCGTTGCCGAATCATAAAACTTTGTCTCTATGATTAGAATCCTTCCTATTATAAAGTACTCTATAAAGATCACCTTTACATAAAACAAATTAAAACTGAGGTCGTTTAGTCATCGAATTGTATAAAAACAGACGAACGGAATTGGTAAAGCCATTAGAAACCGTTTGTGTATTGGCTACAATAGATTGACTAAAGACCCTAGGTTTAATTAGTTTTTGCAAATAATATCTTTACAGAGTGATTCATAATATGAACAGTTCTAATCACAAACACAAAACTCAATGATTCGAACACGAAGAGTTTGAGTAGAAGATCCTAATCATCCTTAAGTTGTCAAACATTGTTTCCAAATAAATGAGCAACATAGTTTGATAGGAAAGTATGATCTTTTAGTTCACTGATATTTTTTTTTTTCCAGCAACTAGTGTAATGATTGTTTGTGACTTGTGAAGCTAGTATGACGCTATATAGCAGATAAGATTACTGCAAGCAACAATTCTATCACAGTCCATAGAAGACTAGTATGCATTATGCATGCGTAAATCCAAAGAGCCAAAGGGACCAAGGCGGACAATACTTTGCTCAAATTCTTCTCTTTAGACGTGACATAATTTTATCAAACAAAATTATAAATGTTACTCAAACGAGCAATAATCATTTCTTATTTTAACCACATTGCTTTGCCTCGGATCAATGCAGAGGGGCAGCAATCAAGGATAGAAAATTATTCGCACGGTCTTCGCCTACTACTAATAGAGGATTATTCATTCACCTACCAATGAAAATTACTTGAGAACGCCTCCATTCATGAAAAGTTTTTCGGCATTCACAGCATCAAACGAGTGTGCATTTGACACACTTTGAAATTTAAGAAAATAATCGCATCTAATTTTTTATCAGACCTCTAAAACCGAGTACTCAAATTTTCAAATGCTTGGATTAGGTGTCAAAAGTACTCAATTTTCCTTTTGGAGTGTATTTGAACTATTTTCGCCATTTATGGAATCAAGCGAGCGTGCATTTGACACACTTTGCAACTTAGGGAAATAAACGCATCTAATATCTTAGTAGACCCCTAAGAATGAGTGTTTAGAAGGTCAAAAGCTTACTGGGTGTCAAAAGTACACCGTTTTTTCTTTCATAATGTATTTAGACTGTTTTCGGCATTCATGAAATCAAACAAGCGTGTATTTGACACACTTTGAAACTTTAGAAAATAAACTCTACAAGACCCCTAAATTGAATGACATGCATGTCGAAGACTTCATTGATAATTCGTCAAGCCCATTGCCTACGCAAGAAAAAAGATATAACTTGACTGATAGATGTTGATAATGATTCTCAATTCCAAAACTTGACTTGAAAAGTCTTTGATGGTCATATGTCCCTCTTAAATCTCAGCAATTTCCAGTGAGAGAGAAACACACACAACCACACATATAACATATTTATAAACAGAAAGAGATTCTCTCATGATCTCTTTCACTAAGATCACCGGATCGGCATTCATGAAATCAAACAAGCGTGTATTTGACACACTTTGAAACTTTAGAAAATAAACTCTACAAGACCCCTAAATTGGATGACATGCATGCTGAAGACTTCATTGATAATTCGTCAAGCCCATTGCCTACACAAGAAAAAAGATAAGTTACTGATAGATGTTGATAAAGATTCTCAATTCCAAAACGTGACTTGAAAAGTCTTTGATGGTCATATGTCCCTCTTAAATCTTAGCAATTTCCAGTGAGAGAGAAACACACACAACCACACATATAACATATTTATAAACGGAAAGAGATTCTCTCCTGATCTCTTTCACTAAGGTCACCGGATCAGCATTCATGAAATCAAACAAGCGTGTATTTGACACACTTTGAAACTTCAGAAAATAAACTCTACAAGACCCCTAAATTGGATGACATGCATGCCAAAGACTTCATTGATAATTCGTCAAGCCAATTGCCTACGCAAGAAAAAAGATATAACTTGACTAATAGATGTTGGTAAAGATTCTCAATTCCAAAACTTCACTTGAAAAGTCTTTGATGGTCATATGTCCCTCTCAAAACTCAGCAATTTCCAATAAGAGAGAAACACACACAACCACACATATAACATATTTATAAACGGAAAGAGATTCTCTCCTGATCTCACTAAGGTCACCGGATCAAGTGATCCGAGCCTTTGAATTTTCATCCAGCAGCAAAAAATTATTATAGGTTTTAAAGGATCAAAATAGGTGGGCTGTTTGCCTCCTATCAATACAGAGAGGCAGCAATCAAGGATAGAAAATTATTCGCACGGTCTTCGCCTACTACTAATAGAGAGGATTATCCATCCACCTACTAATGAAATTTCCATGAGAACGCCATCACTTATGAAAGAGTTTTGGCATTCACGGGATTAAACGAGTGTGCATTTGACACACTTCGAAATTTAAGAAAATAAACACATCTAATTTCCTATTAGACCTCTAAGAATGAGTACTCAAAATATCAAATTCTTGGATTAGGTGTCAAAAGTACACAGTTTTCCTTTTAGATGTATTTAGACTGTTTTCGGCATTCATGGAATCAAATGAGCGTGCATTTGACACACTTTGCAACTAAAGAAAATAAACACATCTAATATCTTACTAGACCCCTAAGAATGAGTGCTCAAAAGGTCAAAAGCTTATTGGGTGTCAAAAGTACACAGTTTTTCATTTTGAAATGTATTTAGACTGTTTTCGACGTTCATAAAATCAAACGAGCGCACATTTGACACACTTTGAAACTTAAGGAAATAAACTCATCTAAGACGCTAGAAGTCCCCTAAATTGGATGACATCCATGCCAAAGACTTCATTGATAATTCGTCAAGCCCATTGCCTACGTATACACAAAAAAAAAAGATACAACTTGACTGATAAATGTTGATTGAGAATCTTTATTCCAAAACTTTGACTTCAAAAGTCTTTGATGACCATATGTCCTATTTAAATCTCAGCAATTTCCATTGGATTTAAATTTGATAATTAATATAATCATATGATAGATATAACTTGACTAATATTAATAATTAATATTATTTTTACCGTTGGATTTAAATTTGAGCCATTATATATCTTTTATTATCGCAAAAACTGATTAAATTGATTCGAGCCATTGGATTTTAATTGGATGTAGTTGTGCGCCACACTGGATCAGAGCCCAGGAGGCGCTTCAGCCACTGGATCACATCGGCCAGCCAATCTGCGCCGTAAACCTGTTGCTCTCCATGCGCTCGCACGCAGAGAATTCCTCCACCTTATGTTGCTGACTTGCGCGGGGCCTGCGTAGGCTTGTTTCACGTGATGGAGTAGAAAAAGCCGGGGCCTTCGGGCCACTTAAAACCTTATCCACTCGAGGGGAGAGTGGGGAAGCAATGAAAATTCCCACCCCAAACCAAAAGTCCCTTTGAGATGTTTCAGCCCCAAATTTTGAGTAATTTTTTGTTAGCCATCACCCATGGAGACAACCTTAAGATTTTCAGATTTTCCTATTATGATAGGCATAAGGCTACCGAAACCTGTAGCCAAACACTAATTTTATCACATAAAAGGGTTTTTTGAAATATTCGGCACTTCTTTCACTTCTGGTAGTTTTTTTTTTTTTTTTTTTTTTGGGGGGGGTTTGTGAAATGATTTTAAAACATCAACGGATATTCGCGTTACTTTCAAAACCTGAGGGGGTTTTGGGAAGAATCGAGAAACCTCAAGAATGTATACGCAATTAACCTCTGTCAAAAGTTGTACAATGATTAAGGGTGCTTTTGACGTTTTCAACTCAGTGACTGACAAGTAGGGTTTTCTAACCAATAGTAAGTATAAATGCTGCAAATGGCAAACTTTCATGCAACAAATTAATTTCCTGTCATAATAACGTTTCGAACTAATAATAAAAGTCTTGTGAAGGATTCTCTTCAAATGACCTTGTATACTAAGCATTTCATAAATTCAAGTTGTGACGTGGATGGAGCAACCCAATAAAGAATAATAGTTGGCTACTATGAGTAGGAGTTCTTAATCAATATTGTTCATTGCAGATTCATAAAACTTCGTCTTTATGATTAGAATCTTTTATATTATAAAGTACTCTATAAAGATCATTTCTGCAAAAAAAAAAAAAAAAAAATCAATTAAAACTAAGGTCATTTAGTCATCGAATTGTATAAAAACAGACAAGCGGAACTGGTAAAGCCATTAGGAACCGTCTATGTATTTGTTATAATAGATTGACTAAAGACTCAAGGTTTAAATTATTTTATGTAGAGATGATTTTTACAGAGTGATTCATAATATGAATAGTTATAATCATAAGCACAAAACTCAATAATTCAAGAGGAAAACTAATGAAAGGACTTGAAAACTTTGAGTTTTAATGATAAGAACAAAATAAAGGGTAAAGTGAATAGTACCAAGATTGACTTTTTAGTATAAAAATATGGTTTTTCATTAAAGTAAACAGTACCGTAGATTTTTCGTTAAAACTCTCTAATTCAAAGTCAAAGAATTTGAGTAGGAATTTCTATTTATCCTTAAATAATCAAATATTATTTCCAAATAAATGAATGGCTTAATTTGATTGGACAGTATGATCTTTTAGTTCACTGATATATTTTTTGTCCCAGTGACTAGTGCAGTGATTGATTGTGACCTGTGAAGCTACTATGCACACTATTTAGGAGATAAGATTACTGCAAGCAACAATTCTCTCATAGTGCATAGAAGACTAGTATGCATTATGCATGCGCAAATCCAAAGAGCCAAATGGACCAAGGCGGTGGGCGTGGGGCAAGGGGTTTGCATTGCCAATGAACAATACTTGGCTCAATTTCTTCTCTTTAGACGTGACATAATTTTATCAAACAAAATTATAAAAGTTACTCAAACGAGCAATATTCATTTCTTATTTTCACCACATTGCCTTGCCTCCCATCAATACAGAGGGGCAGCAATCAAGGATGAAAATTATTTGCACTGTCTTCGCCTACTAATGAAATTTACATCGCCTCCACTTATGAAAGGGTTTCGGCATTCATGGGATTAACGAGTGTATATTTGACACACTTTGAAATTTAAGAAAATAATCACATCTAATTTTCTATTAGACCTCTAAGAGCAAGTACTCAAAATTTTAAATGCTTGGATTAGGTGTCAAAAGTACACAATTTTCCTTTTTGAGTGTATTTGAACTGTTTTCGACATTCCTGGAATCAAGCGAGGGTGCATTTGACACACTTTGCAACTTAAGGAAATAAACACATCTAATACCCGCATCTAATATCTTAGTAGACCCCTAAGAATGAGTGTTCAAAAGATCAAAAACTTATTGGATGTCAAAAGTACATAGTTTTAACTTTTGAAGTGCATTCAGATTGTTTTCGATATTCATGAAATCAAATAAGCGCGCATTTGACACACTTTGAAACTTAAGGAAATAAACTCATCTAATGTGCTACAAGACCCCTAAATTGGATGACATCCATGTCAAAGTCTTCATTCATAATTCGTCAAGCCCATTGCCTACGCGAAAAAAAAGATATAACTTGACTGATAGATGTTGATCGAGAATCTCTATTCCAAACCTTGACTTCTATTCCAAACCTTGACTTGAAAAGTCTTTGATGATCATATGTCCCACTTAAATATCAGCAACTTCCAGTGAAAGAGAAACATACACAACCACACATATGACATATCTAATTATCTATAAACAAGAGCTGATCAGTGTATTCATTCATACAACCCAAGCAACAAATTAACAACTTTATACCATTTGCCATGACGATATCAAATTTCATCTCTCATCTGTACCTTTCCTTGTTTCTGCACATGATCATTGCCACCACACTCGTTGCCGGCGATCCCCCACCTATCTACACTCCGGTGGAAGATATCACCGTTAAATGTGGCCATCCCGGCCACTTATTTAATCAGGATGATAAACGAAATTGGAGTGGAGATGTCAACTCAAAGTTTACCCCGATAGATGTACACCAAGCAGCTGGTGGTAACACATCCGTGTTCAAAGAAGCACCGCACGGCTCCTCCGTCTCCCAAATTCCTTACACCACAGTTCGGCTTTCTCGCTCTGAATTTACTTACAGATTTAACCTCACCGCCGGCCAAAAGTTCATCCGCTTGTACTTTTACCCTGTTTCATACCCTGACTTTGACCGCTCCAAAGCGCTGTTTACTGTCAAAGCCGGTGGATTTACCCTTCTCAACGACTTCAACGCTTCTGTCAATGCCGATGCTTATGGGATGGAGACAGTATACAGAGAATTCTGCATCAACATTGAGGAAGAAGAACAAAGTCTAAACATCACATTCACTCCCAGTCGAAGCAAAGCAAGCCCGGATGCGTATGCGTTTATCAACGGAATTGAAATTGTGTCCATGCCCCCAAATCTTTACTACACTGCACCAGAAGACGACCCCCATCGGATTAAATATATAGGCAACGAAAATAATTTTTATCGTGTGGAAAACGTCACTGCTCTAGAGACAGTTTACAGAATCAACATAGGGGGAGCCGCGGTGGATGTCGATAAAGACACCGGCTTGTACCGCGATTGGAAGGGTTATTTATTTGAGCAACTGTACTTGGATGAGGCAAGTTATAATCGGAGCGCTCAACCACAAAACCTAAGTCTTCATATCAACTTTACAAAGACACCGAACTACTCTGCTCCGGAACAAATTTACCAAACCGGGAGGTCTTTGGGCCCAAACGCCACCATGAACCAGCGCTACAACCTCACCTGGGGTTTTTTTGTCCATCCCAACTTTTTGTACCTGGTTAGGCTTCATTTTTGTGAGTTTCTGTCTGCAATCACGGAGATTGGTGACCGAGTGTTTCTGATCTACGTAGCCAATCAAACGGCGGAAGAACGAGCCGACATAATGGAGTGGAGTGGCGGGAATGGGATTCCGACGTACAGAGACTATGTTGTGTTCATTCCTACCGGCACCGGAAACAAGAAGAAAGTACCTCTCTCTGTCACACTGCAAGCACTCCCTGTGCCTAAACCATATCGGATAACTAAGTACTTGGATGCAATTTTGAACGGTCTGGAGATCTTCAAACTGAATGGAACAAATGGTAATCTCGCCGGACCAGACCCCGATCCGCCTCTTCCTCATCCGAAAGAAGTGATCCCATCAAGCAAAAAACTTTCCAAGTCAAGGACTCATTTTGTTGCCGTTGTTGCTGGCGCAGTCTCCGCGGCGCTCATAGTGCTTTCCGTACTAGGGTTGCTCTTGGTTTTTAGACACCGACAGAAATATGTCAAGGGCTACGGAGCGGCAAACTCTACCAATTCACGGGGCGGCTCATCTCTGCCATCCGATTTGTGTCGCAACTTTTCGTTGGCGGAGATGAAAGCCGCCACCGAAGACTTCAACGAAATTTTCATTATTGGGGTTGGCGGGTTCGGCCACGTGTACAAAGGGTACATCAACACAAGCAGCGGTGCTAGTGGGACCACCCCCGTCGCGATCAAACGGCTTAAGTCCGAGTCGTCGCAGGGGGCCCAGGAGTTCAAGACGGAGATCGAGATGCTATCGCAACTTCGCCACCAGCACTTGGTGTCACTCGTCGGGTATTGTACGGACGAGGGTGAGATGATCTTGGTGTACGATTACATGGTGCGTGGCACCCTCCGCGACCATCTTTACAACACCTATAATCCTCCTCTTTCGTGGGATCAACGACTTCAAATTTGCATTGGCGCCGCTCGTGGGTTGCATTATCTACACACAGGTGGGAAGTACACGATTATTCACCGAGACGTGAAGAGCACAAACATCCTATTGGATGAGAAATGGGTGGCTAAAGTGTCCGATTTCGGGTTGTCAAAAATGGGCCCCACCACCATGTCCAAGACCCATATTACTACAGTGGCGAAGGGTAGTTTCGGGTATTTGGATCCGGAATACTACCGTCTTAACCAGCTGACGGAAAAGTCTGACGTGTACTCCTTCGGGGTGGTGTTGTGTGAGGTTTTATGTGCCAGACCAGCTTTGGTGCGGGGACCAGACAAGAAGCAAATGAGCCTAGCTCACTGGGCAAAGAGTTGCTATCTCAAGGGAGAACTTGATAAAATTATTGACCCTAACTTGAAGGGTAAGATCGGAACTGCGTGTATGAATAAATTCGCCGACGTCGCGGTGAGTTGCATGCATGATAACGGGATCGATCGGCCGTCGATGAATGACATTGTGTGGGGGCTTGAGTTTGCATTGCAGCTTCATCAAAAAGAGGAACAAGGAGATGTAGGTTTCGACATTGAAAAGAAGGGAGAAGATGAGCGTGCGATAATGAACGATAGTGATGCATTAGGGCTTAGTAGTAGCTTGGGAGAGTCATCGGATTGGATGTCCAAAACAAATAGTAGTGAGCAAAATTCTACTACAAACGAACCGATCAAAGGGATGTCGAGGACAATCTTTTCTGGGATCGACGATCAGGATGGGAGATGATTAGTTGTCACATATTTATTTAGTGGTGAGTATGTGCTACAATTTCAACTCAACTTGTAATTTATGTATTTTTTTAAATTGAGTAAACTGCTGATTTTTTTCCCAAACTTTCACCTCACCATCGGTTCCCTCGTAAATTTTTTAATTGAAAATTAAGGACTTAAACTATTTTTTTTGGCCAATTTCTCTCTTACGGTTAGTTTTTCATTCATTCCATCCAAAATTCTGTTATATGAAAACATGTGCGTAACATGTCAGTCGCTTCGTTCTTTAAAATAATTGAAAACACTGGATTTCTAAAATGTTGACCTATGCACATTTGGGTGATTCTATAGTTTTGTGTATGAAGGTTTAGCGAAGTGACCTTTTTTGTTCTTAAAGGAGATTCACATAGTGTGCACGCGATAAAAGATAACATTAATTTGGATGAAATCTATGAAAAACTAATAGCACGAGAAATATGTCAAAAAAATTAGCAAGTCCTTAATTTTTCAATTTAAAAATTTAAAGGATAAATAAAAAATTAGTTGAAAATTCATGAAAGAAATTGACAGTTTACTCCTTTAAATTTCAAATAAACTCGTATCTTTTTTCTCCATTCACTGAACCAATTAAACTTAAAACATGTACTGACAAAAGAGAAATAAAAGTAAAAGATGTACAGTGAGACATTCTTTTCTTCTTCAACACATTCAAGTTTATTTCTGATTTTTAAGTAAAAAAAATTAAAAGATATAAATAAATAGAGGCGTGAAGAATGAGAAAATGAATGCAAATAAATCATTTCCTTAACGGGTTAATTACATTAACACCCCGAGAAATTTTTTGTGAAATGATTTTGAAACGTCAAGGGGTGTTTGTGATATGTTGAGAACCTCAAGGGATTTTGTGAAAACATAAAAAACATCAAAGGTGTTTGTAATTAACCCCTCTACAAAAATACAAAAAAAAAAAAAAAAAATTAAATGACATTTATTATTTAACATATCGGGTGGAGTAAATATTATACAAAATGTCAAATTACCACATAAATCATTAAATATCATTTTGATGTTTAAAATTTCACATCTTCAAAAAAGATGCTCTAAGATGGCAGGGAGCCATACAGAATCACATTTTAAAATCTTCTCTTTAGCATTTCTCTAAGTTACTTTCAGAATAGAGTTTCAGACTAGTAATGGAAGTCTGGTGCAACATGAGAAATGCTAATAAAACTCTTTTAAAAGTAAAATTTTCTATAAATTCTCTACCGTCTCATGTTTTTGATATAATATTTAATAATATTAACGTAAAAATTAACATGAAATTGTAAAATGATAAATTATCCATAAAGAATTGCACTTTAAAAGAGTATCTTTACCATTTCTCATGCAGGATTGTCTTCGAATATTTTTTTATTATTACGAAGTTCTTTGTAAAGGAAAATGATTCTCTCTAGATCTCTTCTACCAAGGTCATTGGATTAAGTAATTTGGACCTTTAAAATTTCATTCAACGGCAAAAAAATAGCTTTTAAAGGATGAAATCAAGTTTGAATGAAATTTCAAAAACCCGAATGACTTGATCCAGTGGCCTTGATGGAAGAGTTTCGAAGATGATCTCTTTCCCTTTGTAAAGGAACTGGATCCTCTCATGAGCTCAGGATGGGGATCCTCCTGAGTAGCCCATCTGGATCGTTGAATTTTGATCCAACAATTCGCCTCTCTAAAAGTTATAATAATTGCAATCGTTGAATCAAGTTTGAACTCCCAGATGGGCTGCTCATAAGGATCCCTATCCTGAGCTTAGGAGAGGATCTAGTTCCCTTTGTAAATTCATGTTCTGACGTGGATGGACCAACAAAATAAACGAGTTGCTTAAATTGATAGGACGACATGAGCTTTCGGTTCATTGGAGAAGTTTTTTTAGTGTAATCGGAATATGAGTAATATATCACATATTATTATACAAATAGTCAGATATGTGTGTTAAAAAATTAATAATTTAAAATATAAAATTTTCCATCATTTATATAAAAATACATAATATATTATTCATATTCTGATCATAATAAAAAATTTCTTGCTTCACTGATACTTTTTATTTTTCCAAAGACTAGTACAGTGATTGATTTTGACATGTGGAGCCAGTATCATGCACTATATAGGAATCCATTTATGCATGCGTAAAACAAAGTGCCAAAGGGATCAAGGTAAGGGTCGGGCAAGGGGTTTGCATAATTGCAATGCCAATGAACAATAATTGCCTCAAATTCTTCTCTTTGGACGTGACATGATTTTATAAAGAGAACGGTTAATGAAGAAGATTTTTTCAAAATGATATTCTCGACGAAATCTTTGCATCTCACAATTTAATTTTAATTTTTATGTGAACATTATAAAAATAAAAAACATAAGGTGGTAAAGATTATATAGAGAATTCTATTTTTAAAAGAGTCTCCTTAGAGCATCCTCAAATAATGTGTCAAATTTTAAACATCATACCGATATTTGATGGTTTATGTGTCAATTTAACATTTTATACAATTTTTTGCTCCCCCAATATGTTAAATAATAATGTCATCTTATAATGATTGAGACAACCAATCAAATACTTGAAACACACAAAAACATTTATTATATAGGAACTGTTATTGACACTCCAAAAATCTCATTCTACACTCCAAACTTTCTATATTTGGAAAGAAAAATACATTTGTGAGGAGCGTAGAATGAGATTTTTGGAATGTCAATAACATTTCCCTATTATATATTATATTACATCTATCAAAAAATTATATAATAAATTTGACAGTTATTGTCAAATTTGATAGCAAAAGACTTTGTCTTCAATTGATTTAGTGCCACGTAAGAAACTGAAGCTCGTTTGAAAAGAGTTTCCTGCCATTTTTTACTATTGTATGTGGAGATGCTCTTAGCATTTCTCTTTTACCAAACAAATATTATGTAATATAAACTTTTAGTTTCTTTATTATCATTATTGATTATCTTCAAAAAAAAAAAAAAATTCATTTGATTTGAACGTCATTGAATTATTTAAATCAATCAAATAAATTAAGAATTCATCATAAAATTATTACTTTTAGCATAATTGTCGATTTGTTTTAAAACAACTGAACGACTAAATCGTCTTTAAACTAAATAAACTTTTTAGGAATGATATGATTTTAAAATAGTGAAATAATGTCACGAGGGGAATAGTTGTTCTTTGCTAATTGGTTGTACAATACCTTTCCCAAAAGGCGCAACAGCAACAGCGGCAGTCGGCGGTGCAATGTGATCGGAAACCGTATGCCTTCTGCCATCCACTCGCCGGTGCTGGCAATCCTGAAAACTGCTACGTGTACAAGAAAGGAGGATGTTAATATTTGAATTTATATTATACATATGATATTTCAATTTCTGTTCTTGTGCTTTATTATTTATGTTTATTTAGGAAGAATCGCATAATATTCTGCTTGTCATCTGTTGCCCTAGAACTCTATGATTTATAAATCTCAAGCCAACAATTCAGTTCTCAAAGGAACTGGAAGTGGCCTGGCTTTAACCTTGGACGTTTAATCATGGTATGAATCAAATAAATTGACGGTTTATTATAAACAATGAAAGTGGCTTGGCTTTAACCTTTGACCACTGATTGTGCATTTTAATAATGTCCATAAGGATAGAGTTTGTTTGGAAGAAAATGGATAACAACTAGAGTGCTTGGAACAGGAAGCGAAACACAACATGTCATTACATAATTAGAGGGGCACTTGAATTTGATAGGACAACATGAACTTTCCGTTCACAATTTTTTTTATTTTTTTCAGAGATAATATTTGCAGGATGATTCATAATATGAATAGCTCTGATCATAAACACAAGTTCTATAATTCGAAAACGAAATATATGAGTAGGAATTTTTACTCATCCTTAAGTAGTCAAATATTATTTCCAAATAAATGAGTGACTTAAATTGATCGGAAAGTATGATCTTTTAGTTCATCGATATTTTTCCCTAGTGACTAATGCAGTGATTGATTGTGGGAGTAGGATTTTCTCATTTCCAAATTCTTTTTTTTTTCTTTCAATTTTCTTCTATTTGATTGATCGCGATTAAATTTCGTTAACATGTGATATTGATTTTTTTTTTATACAAAAAACAAAAAGAAAGAAAAGAGAAAAGTTAAGAGAAAGAGGAGACGCACTATACAGGAGATAGGAATCCGCTTTTACATGTGTGTCCTTACTGCATGCGACAATTCTCTCATAGTGCGCACACGACTAGTATGCATTATCCATGCGTAAATCCAAGGGGTTTGCATTGCCAAACAGCAATACTTTGCTCATCTTCTTCTCTTTCGACGTGACATAATTTTATCAGATAAAAATTATAATATAAACTGTTTATTTTTTCAATTTATCATTAATGATTATGTTAAAAAAAATCATCTGATTTGAACGCGGTTAGTGGCTTGGCTTTAACCTTTGGCACCTATGATTGTGCATTTTAACAATGTCAGTAAGGATAGAGAGTTTGTTTGGAAGAAGATTGGATTACAACAAAGTCTGCGCCCTCTATTCGCCATGGCAAATAGAAAAATTTTCTCCAAAGCTTTCATTTGAGTAGTCACTACGCCTTAGTCCTTACAATATCGCTGAGTTTTTGGAAAACAGTTTCAGTATCATTTCCATCTAAACCACTGACTTATTAAGAGAAATCTTACATATATAAAGTGATTGTTTATTTTTTTACCACTTCTTTCACTTCCTGTAGGCTTTTATTATTATTATTATTATTATTTTTTTATGGAGAAGAGTTTGTGAAATGATTTTGAAACATCAAAGGATGTTTGTGTTGTTTTCAAAACTTGAGGGAGTTTTGAAAAAATGTATGCGTAGTTAACCCCTATCAAAGGAGAAATTTGAAAAAATAATCAAAATTTAGATCTCACATAGAATTATAGTCACTATTTTATATTTATGATAATTATAACCAAAATAATAAAAAATAATCAGTATCATTTCTCCTTTCCCTCTGTTCATCCCTTAGAGCTCCCCCGCCATTTCCACCACTCATGCCAACCTCCACCGGAGCCTTCCTCTTCCGTAACCTTCTCCATCCTTCTTCG